CAAAAAAACACCCCATATCCCAGTTCCCAGTAAAATAAAATCCCAATTCCCAGTTCCCAGGGTCTACATAATATATGTTTCAGGAAATTCAGTAGTTTAGGTTTCAAACACTACATAAATACTAAAATCATTGTCCTGCCCAACAAAAAGTGTGTCTCGGACCTCTCAGTTCTTTTTTTCAAAATTAAAAAATTCTTTAAATTAAGTATTAAAAATATTAGCGCAGAAATTGAAATTCCGACGAATTGACACAATTTTCCCAGATCCCAGACAATTTTAGAGGGTCTTTCCCACGTCCCGATGGACTTCTCAGTCTTCTGTTCCCGAATCACGGAAAATTTATCTGGCATTTCCCAGATAATTAAAATGGCCAATCCTGCATCCCGAAAATACCCGTTCCCCCCCCTCAATATAGTCAAGTATAGTCTTCCATGGTAATACATCATTGTATATGGTGAAGAATGATGAAAGAATGCGTTTCTTGATTCCATATTTTTAAAACATAGTCATCTTTTTTGTACATGTTTATGTATAGCGGATCCTAAAGGGAGCATACAACAGCTTCCCTGCTCGGAAGGCTGCAGTGAGCAACACTGTAGTAACTTCAAACCTATCCATGCTTCCTACTCTTTATGCAGAAACAAAGGTGAAAATTTGGAGAATATTGTGTTTTTGAATGCTTGCATAGTCTCACCAACGATGGAATTTTATTAACACATTTTTCACTGATGTTTTTTCACAAATTTATACTATATATATATGTAATATATAATTATACATATATTTATGCTAATATTACCATCACCTAGCAATTTTATTTGATAAGAATTATTCAGAATTATTGCAAGATTTTATCAAGTCATTGCATTTTATGCATTACTGCTTAGGTTACTAAGAAAGTGGAATAGAACCATCTACTAGGTTTACCATGAACCTGTATTCAGTATGCATTGGTTCTTGGTATTACTTGTAACCTTTTCTCATATATGAGTGAAGCAAGCATCTGCATTTGTAGTTATATATTGTCTATATAACGTCTTTGATTGTATCACAGATGATGGGGCAAGCAAAGGCAAGTGTGAGTCTGGTACAGAGCTTAGCTATCCAAATCTACTGAAGCTTTGCAGTGCTGATACCCCTATATATCAGGTATGAAGGATCATGGAAAGGATAAAATTTTCAGGATAGGTCAGAAATGGGGTAACTTAGAATTGATTACATTTTGGTGGTGATCCGGATCCAATTAATTATTTAATTCGTTAATTAATTAATATAATTTTTCACAGTGAGACAATTGAGCTGCCTTGGCGGAGGTCTGTGCTCTCCGAGTGCTCTAGTTAGTTCATGTTATCAGAAGTGTATAATATAGACATCTCCATACATTACACTCCTGATATAATAATATTATCATATTTCATCCAAACCATAGTTTTTGTATGCGTTTATTTAGGAAACGTTTAATTGCTTTTTATAAGCGTAATACTCTAACTCGAATTCACATAGCTATGATAGCTCCACTCTCGTAAATTTTACTGATTTTAAGTGAGTGGCTTTACCATGTAGTGCACTACAATCTAGGCGAAGGCATTTCCGAGAACAAGAGCTCTGAATGACTCCCCACGGCTGCCAGTTATTGACGCTGAGGCCCGGAAAGATGTGCTGAATGTCTATCGTGATAAAATCGAGAAGCTCTTAGAGAGAAGAGCACTTGGTTGTGAAACACATGGTAAGCAAAAATGTTAGCAAATGCGATCATATCGCTTTTACGGTTTTATAACTTGGTGGAAAAATTTTTGAGCAGAGTATAAAAGTGTAAATACCCTCTTTATACGTGGCAGCATCCCGTTAAATGTTTAGAGATATTGATATTTCTGTTGAACAGAATTCGTGTTCCTCGATAACTGGAAAAGGCACAATGGTTTTGTGTAAAATCTTCGTGAAGTATAGCAGTGCTTCAGTCAGCCATGTGTTACCTCACACAATTGCAAATGACAGCCTCTGTTACTGAAACGCACCAGTACTGTTGTAGAAGTTTGTACCTGAGTTTTCGTCTACATCTTGAAAGAAGAGTGATCGTGTTGGTGATACTTGTGCAGTTGTCAAAATCTCTTTAGCAGAGTTTTTCTCTTTGGATTTCATCGGTTTAGGAAGTCTGCAGATACTATTGACGAGTCTTCAGGAAGAGATTGAACAGCTGTCCATGAGCAAGACTAGTCAGCTGCTAGCGGTGGTCATGGACGAGATTAAAATTCTACGGCGTGAAGTCGAGCTGTTGGCGTCTTCAACAACGTACGTTTTATTATTCATTTTAAGAGCGGGAATTGCTTCAATTTTATTTAACGTTTTTTAGGTGCCATTGTGTGTGCTGGCTTATGTGCGCGCACGCGTGCATGTGCATGTGTGCCCGTGTTTGGTCAGGCTTTGTCAAATATAATCCTACCAATTTGATGCAAATATCAAAGCAACAAGGGACGTTTATGCATGGACTGCTGGACCAAAGCTACATCATGCATAGTCTAGAACTATAGCCCTCCCGCTCGGCGGAGCGGAGCGGAGGGCTATAGTTCTAGAGCTACATCATGCATTGCACACACGCACCCACCTAGCCACACACACGTACACCACATAATCCCACCGGTACTCTGTTCTTCCAGTTCAAAGTGGGGAATAAAACTATGGAGACATGTGGTTCCAATTTGTTATTGCCAGGAAATGTGAAGATGCTGTCCTTGCCAGGAACTGAATATGACCATGTAAAAATACAGTGCATGGGCACATCACTAGCAAGATTTATAAACCTAAGACATATCGACCTTTCACTTAATGCACTTACTTCATTGCGGGTTAGTATAAAGTACTATAAGGCTATGTGATAACTAAAATCTTAGTCAACTCTGTGTGTATTGTAGCAGACCACTGCATACGTGTGTGTGCATGTCTCTGTGCGTGCTTGTTTGCGTGCGTGCATATGTGTGTGCGTGTATGTTCATTTTGTCCAATTGTATTCTAAAAGTATGTCAATATGCCACTTCGTACATGATTACAACATCTCCAATGGTTTGGTAAAGAATTAGGTATTAGGACTATATGGGAACAGCGATTACAAACACGTATGAGACGTGATTGTTATTCAAGTCGTTTAAATGTTTTTCAGGGGTTGGAAACGCTGGGCCAATTGGAAAAACTCAATATGTATCCTTCAAATAATCATCACTTGGTAATGATAATGATGATTTTTGTTCTCTCTCTCTCTCACACACACACACACACACACACACACTCTCTGTCATCTCTGTCTCTCGCTCTCTTTTTCATCCCCACTCTCCTTCCCTTTCTTTCCCTCCCTCCCTCCCTCCTTTCTCTCCATCTCTCTCTCTTTCTTACTGTCACTCATCCTTCTTCCCCTCTACTTCTCCATACTATCTCCCTCGTTATGTGAATAATTCAGTCATAATATACTAATCTTTTCCTTCCTCCTCCTGCTCCTCCTCCTCTTCTTCTTCCTCTTACTCCTCCTCCTCTTACTCCTCGTATTTCTCCTCCTCCTCATCCTTCTCCTCCTCAACCTCTTGCTCCTCCTCATTCCCATCCACTTCCTCTTGCTCTGCTTCCTCCTTCTCTTGCTCTTCTTCTTCTTCCACCTCCTCCTCCCCTTCCTGCTCCTCTTTTTCCGCCGCCTCCTCCTCTTCCTCTTCCTCCTCCTCATCCGCTTACTTCCTCTTCCTCCTCCTCTTGATTCTCCTCCTCCTTCCCATCCTCTTCCTCTTGTTCTGCTTCATCATCCTTTTGCTCTTTATCCTCCTCTTCCTTGAGTACTACTCCTCTGGTAATAGACTAGTCGAGAGAAGCTATCCGGTGTTCCACTATTCTGATGAGACAAAATACAAAAGTGTGTATTACTGAAGTATCCCACTGTTTCCTTCTTAACTGGTGCCTACCAATGCAGATATCACAACAACCTTACTCTACTGAGTGAGCTCTTCAGACTACATCACAACGCGAGACTGAATGAGGTTGATATCAGAATGAATCCTGTTTCGCTAAATGAGAAAGATTACAGGCTGTTCCTCATACATCTACTGCCAGATCTTGAACTGCTCGGTATACTTCGAATGTTTGAAAGCAACTCTTAATCTATCTCGTTCATTTTGTTTTTCTCTTTATTAAATTTTATACTTTTTTAAGTTTTTTTATTATATTCCTAAGACCTTTATCAGTTCTTCAAATTATTTCTGTTGCCTCTTGGGATAATTGTTCAGCAAATGGATGTGAGTTTATATAATACTCATTGGTGTTTCATATTGCGCGTGCTCTTTTGCAAATTATAGACGACAGCAAAGTGTGGTCCAGTGAGAGAATGGCTGCACAGCTGTACTTTACAAAGTTTAGTGTTCAACAACCAGATAAAGGTCACCCAGTTTCGACAGTGGTGCCACCTAGAGTTCGTCTAGTGCAACAAGTCTTACGGTTAACAGGTAGGTACTGCATGGAGCACGAATTATTCCACCTAAAGCTAGAAAGTCGTAATAATTAGTAATGACACACAAGTAATCACTGGCTGTAGAGTTGATAGGAAATTTAAAGGAAAATTAATTAAATGATACATGTGCAATATAGAGTGGGGGGGGGTACATTCCCACTTTCCCAGCAAAAAACACCCCGTATCCCAGTTCCCAGTAAAATAAAATCCCAATTCCCAGTAGTTCCCAGGAAATTATGTAGACATGTTTCAGGAAATTCAGTAGTTTAGGTTTTCAAACACTACATAAATACTAAAATCATTGTCCTGCCCAACAAAAAGTCTGTCTCAGACCTCTCAGTTCTTTTTTCAAAATTAAAAAATTATTTAAATTAAGTATTAAAAATATTAGCGCAGAAATTGAAATTCCGACGAATTGACACAATTTTCCCAGATCCCAGACAATTTTAGAGGGTTTTTCCCACATCCCGATGGACTTCTGTTCCCAAATCACGGAAAATTTATCTGACATTTCCCAGTTCCCAGATAATTAAAATGGCCAATCCCGCGTCCCGAAAATACCCGTTCCCCCCTCAATATACTCAAGTATAGTCGTCCATGGTAATACATCATTGTATATGTTGAAGAATGATGAAAGAATGCGTTTCTTGATTCCATATTTTTAAAACATAGTCATCTTTTTTGTACATGTTTATGTATAGCGGATCCTAAAGGGAGCATACAACAGCTTCCCTGCTCGGAAGGCTGCAGTGAGCAACACTGTAGTAACTTCAAACCTATCCATGCTTCCTACTCTTTATGCAGAAACAAAGGTGAAGATTTTCAGGAGCACTCAGAGGCGGTTGGCGGATCATTTTTTGGTGCTGCGGGATGCGGATCTATGGATGCTGATATAGTCCGGTGGGTGAGTTCCCCTTTATGCCTCTTCCCCGAGGGTGTTGTTTTTTCTGATAATCCACTAGCATAAACAAGGTACTCGCTTATCGTCCGTACCTTGCTGGAGGCAGCTCGCATTGGATAGAGGTGGTATCGAGCCAATCAGGGCTTTAGAGAATTCAGTTGTGGTGCGCCTGGAGTAAAAAAAATGAGGCAGAAACGTGTGGCGAGTTTGGCTTCTGATACAATCGGTCCAAGAGATGTCAAGTTTGACGGACAATAGCTTTGAGGAACATAAAAGTTTATAAGAAATACTACGAACATGACTAAGGCCGTGGAGAGAATGAAGGTGACTCAGGATCACAAGTCTCCGTTGAGGAAACGTCGCCAGTTACTTGTTTCCAGAGACGTCGGACTTGTAGGGGCGCCTGAGTTCCTGACGCTGTGGGTTAACGCTGAAATATAGGGGGCCACGAGGCCGCCATTATTGCGGGTAGGGACGGGCGCGGGTTTCCATAGCTGCCTAACGGATCCCGTGTCGGTCGGCCAAGCGACGCCCGCCCTGCCGCCGTGAATGTTGCACCGCCACTGATTCCGGGTTTCTGTTAGGAGCATCCATGGTAGTTGCGTCACGTGGGTTCTCTAGGCCTGGCCTGGTACTCAGGCTACTCACCCATGGGCATTCAGAATTTAAGTTAGCGCCTTCGGTCGGAACGAATCTTGGGTTAATACCCCATAGTGTCGGAGTTTGAGACGGGGATCCGGCGAAAGTTGTAGTCCTTGATAAACTCCGGGAATCCGCTATAACATGAATGTGGCTCGAGGGTGGTGTTGTAAGACTCCAGACGTATTATCAGACTGGTAGGGGAAGGCCTGTTTGATTTACAGAACATGTCTGTGTGAGTTGCTCATTTGCGAGAATGAAGCGAAGACGGCGCCACTGAGCGGAGGAGCTGCGCCGGAGGCTGACGAAGCACGGTTCGTGCGAGGAGGATTGCTATGGCGCGGAAGAAACCCGGAGGCGATGAGGCCTCGCGATGGTGGGGAGAATGCCTTCGTGGCAGAGGCTGCTATATTCCCCCTGACAGCGATGGCGAATCCGAGTTGGCAGGGGCGTCGAGTCGCGGTCTCGAAAGACACCTCGCGCCGCGTATGCCGAGAACCGCTCCGTGGCACGAGTGGCAGAGGCTCTCCACAAAACCCAGCCCCGTGCCCCGGTGAGAAGCGCCGCCGCACGTGCAGCGACGCTCAGTTGCAGGCAGTTGTCGCGCGATCGCACGAGGACGGCAGGAGCAGGAGCGACAAGCCAGCACCTGAGATATGATCCAGGCTGGTCTCCTCCGCGCGCGGTGCCGTGCACCGCTAGTGTATGTTTTTGGGATCGACCTGCGTCGAATCTGAAGGGGGAGAGTGTAGCGGTGGCACCTGGGACGCTAGACCGAGTTCCACAGAGGGTGGCTCCTGGAACGGAGTGTGGGTTGATCTGTGTTTGTGACTGTATAAATTTATTTTGTGATGTCTGCTGTTATAGTGTGACGTTTTCGTGTGTGTGTTTTGGCCACTCATCGAATTAATCGAGAATAAGTCGAGTCCGCTGCATGGGGGCAGCCATGTTGGGTTTAGCCCCTCCACTCCAGCGGCGCGTGAGTGCGCTGGCTCGTGTAAACAGCTTAGGCAGTGACGTGTCCGAAGAAGACACTGGGATGAGTTCTACTAAACGCGGTGAATCGTTGAAGGAGACTAGTGTGTGCACGTCGTCCTGGTAGCCGAGTGAGGAAGGACTCGGCAGTTAGTATAGCCTACGGTCTACTTCCGATGGTATGGACGTGCTGTAGAGTGGCCTGTGAGCTGGTGGTGTGTGTGCGGTTATGGTGACAATTAGGCGACGAGTGACCATACTAATAGTACTACTAGTACTAAGTGGTGAGGTACTGTACCGGTCAACGGCGTTTTGGTGTGTGCCGTTTGCCTCATGGGTGAGGAGAAGGCAGGCGCGTTCGGTTAGTTGGTGAGTAGGCACTGTCGTACTGTCCTTTGTCCGTTGTGGGGTGCGTGAATATATACAGTACTATTAGTAGTCGAATAATTGAACATGGTTGGTTTAATATTCCTAGACTATGAGTACGGGTATTTGAGAAGTATTGAACTCTCCGTGCACGGCTGCACGAGAGGAGAGCCGCCGGTTAGCTGGTAGGCCTATGGCCCGGCTGCGTTCGTAGTTTATTCTACTTGTTTTAACGGCTCTGTGCTGACCCGTGGTGTTGCACTTGTTATTCAGCGTAACTGTATAAGGCTGGCAGGCAGGGGTGGGTTACCCGTTGTCGTGTCTGAGGTATATGTCGCTCCCTCGTCTCGGCATTGGTTTGACGTAATCTCTCGCGACGCACCGAACGGAACACGGCAAGAGATAGGTCTATTGCGGGGGGGCGCAGTAGCATGCAAAAAGGCCCGGGTGGCTGCGAGGCGGGGGGCCGACGATGCACGTGCGCAGCTACAACGTCTCCAGACACATACGGTAAGTAAATATACCTAGATTGTGTGCTAGCCATCATAAGGTGTCGACCTGGGTGGCGCTCCATCGGGTGTCGCCGGAGAGTGACGGAAACGCTACAACATTTACACTCCTGAATAATAATAATTATGCATATTTTCATCCAAAAACCATATGTTTTTGTATGCGTTTATTTAGGAAACGTTAATTGCTTTTATAAGCGTATACTCTAACTCGAATTCACATAGCATATGATAGCTCCACTCTCGGTAAATTTTAACTGATTTTAAGTGAGTGGCTTTACCATGTAGTGCACTACAATCTAGGCGAAGGCATTTCCGAGAAGCAAGAGCTCTGAATGACTCCCAGGCTGCCAGTTATTGACGGCTGAGGCCCGGAAAGATGTGCTGAATGTCTATCGTGATAAAATCGAGAAGTCTTAGAGAGAAGAGCACTTGGTTGTGAACACATGGTAAGCAATGTTAGCAAATGCGATCATATCGCTTTTACGGTTTTTATAACTTGGTGGAAAAATTTTTGAGCAGAGTATAAAAGTGTAAATACCCTGCTTTATACGTGCGCATCCGCTGAAATGTTTAGAGATAAAAAAAAATTGATATTTTGTTGAACAGAATTCGTGTTCCTCGATAACTGTGAAAAGGCAGCAATTGGTTTGTGTAAAATTTTCGTGAAGTATAGCACGTGCTTACAGTCAGCCATGTGTTAGCTTCACACAATTGCAAATGACAGCCTCTGTTACTGAAACGCACGCAGTACTGTTGTAGAAGTTTGTACCCTGAGTTTTCGTCTACATCTTGAAAGAAGAGTGATCGTGTTGGTGATACTTGTGCAGTTTGTCAAAATCTCTTTAGCAGAGTTTTTCTCTTTGGATTCATGCGTTTAGGAAGTCTGCAGATACTATTGCGAGTCTTCAGGAAGAGATTGAACAGCTGTCCATGAGCAAGACTAGTCAGCTGCTAGCGTCGTCATGACGAGATTAAAGTCTACGGCCGTGAAGTCGCAGCTGTTGGCGTCTTCAACAACGTACGTTTTATTATTCATTTTAAGAGGGGAATTGCTTCAATTTAATTTAACGTTTTTTACGGTGCCATGTGTGTGTGCTGGCTTATGTGGCGCGCACGCGGTGCCATGTGCATGTGTGACGTGTTGTGTGTGTGTGGTGTGTGTGTGTGTGTGTGTGTGTGTGCCGTGCGTGCGTGCTGTGTGTGTGTGCGTGTGTGCGCGTGTCGTGTGCAGTGGGCCCGTGTGTGCGTGTGTGTGCGATGCTGTGTGTTGTGCGTGGTGCTGTGTGTGTGTGTCGTGTGTGTGTGTGTGATGTGTGTGTGTGTGTGTGTGTGTGTCTGTGTGTGTGTGTGTGTGTGTGTGTGTGTCGTGTGTGTGTGTAGAGT